ACTTATACTGGGTTCTGCTAATGACCTTCTTGTTTGTTTTAGGAAAACTGAAGAGTGAAAACCTAAAAGCGGCAGGAAACTGACCCCTGAGGATCAGGGTTTCAAAATGAGATGTTTGTAAAGAGACTCGGGATGAATGTTCACAGATGTTTTCTATCCAGCCTCTCTGAGCTTGAGCTCATTTGTAAAGAAGAATGTTTGCTGGAGACAAACACCAAAGGGTTAGCATGTGTAAGTGCATTGAGCGCTGGAGCAACACAGAATTGATCCCTGTGAGCTGAATGCAAATGAACTCAGTATCGTTGTTTGTCTCATATGAAACGGCAATAAAATACATTCCAGTTTGTGTCAAAATGTGAACAGAATCAATCGTTCTTTTTCAGATTGTTTATTTATTTATTTATTTTAGATCTCCTCTTCTTATCGCCAGTAACCAAACATTAGTCATTCCCCATCAGCCCCTGCAGACTCACTTGCTCCATCTGTTCATACATCCTCCTCTGTTGCTCCAGTATTTCCCTCTGCTGGTTAACGAGCGCCCCCTGCTGTTCACTGAGGAGTCTCTGCAGTTCCTTGACCTCGCTCTGTTGGCCCCTGAGGGCCTCCACGAACCTCTCCTGGCCCTTTGACAGCTGCAGCTGCAGGACAAGAGCGTCCTCTGATGGAACCTCGTTGGACCCTTTGGGGAAGACAGAAACTTTTCATGTGACAACGTTCAGGGCTTCCTCTCACATGTGATTAGGCCATTGTTTTAGGAAGGTGAGGATATAAACGCTTATATTTGTACTATTATGCAAACCACAGGGTTTGAATTGAATTTAAATGTAATATTTAAGTCTTACTCGCCCTGTCCCCCGCTCCACACAGCCTTCCATCACTAAAGTCCCAGAGGACACCGTAAGGTGTCCTCTGACGCTCACCTGGCTTCATGTCACATGCCAGCTGTATCCAAGCTCCACGATCCAAGCCAAAATCCGGGAGCTCGCCGAGGAACTGTGCAGCCCTGTCCGTCGTTTGAACAGGAGAAGAGTCTTGCCTCCCGTCGTCTCCAGCGTGCGTCCTGCAGCCGCTCCCGACGCATTGCTGCTGCTGCTGCTGCTGCTTTTGGCTCACCCGGTGGGGCAACCTGCAGCCAATCCCTTTGCACTCCCCCTTGTCATCACTGGTCCCACGATGAGAAACGGTGGTCGGACAAGACCCGCCGGAGCATCCGGGATGAAACACCTCGGCCGTGATGGTCCTGGGGTTCGTCCTCCTGGCGCCGTCGCTTCCAAAGCCTCCGTGTTGACTCTGGACGCCGCTGTAGGAGAATATCGGGCTGCTTTGAGCTTGGTGGTGATGGCGTGACTGACCGTCTTGCTGGTGGCCGGGGTAAACCTGCCCCGTCCTAGACTGCGCGGCGTGGTGCGGCTGCCTCCGGGGAGCGGGCGCCTCCGCGCGCCCCTGGCACTGCGCTCCGACGCACGGTCTGCCGCTCCAGTCCAGACCAGGGAAGCAGCGCGTCCCCCGGCACACCTCGGCCCCGCTCCCCGAGCAGAGGGCAGAAAGGGAAAGGAGCACAAAAGCCACACATGCAGTCTTCATGTTGCGGTCGTTCCACGGGGAGAAATGTGCAAGGGGCCCACGTGGGGACGGTGGCCAGCGTTTTCACGCGTCCGACTTCTCAGACTGACGGGTCCCGTTTGGTCATCACGGTGAGGACAGGGGACAAGAAGACAGATCTCTCTGCGCAAACATCGACATAACTCCACTTTCACTGCACTGGTTCGGTTTGCCTCCGTCGCGCGCGGCTTCTGGCTCCTCTTTGCGTCGAGCCCACATGTGGCGCTCACTGCTCCTAATTGGCACCAGGCTTTGCTCCGAGTCCCAAATTAACCCGTAGCTTTCCTGGCCGTACCTCTCCGCCGGGAGGTACGTTTTTGTCCCACTTGGCTGATATTTTTGGACATCTCCATTTCATTTTTTGAATATTTGTGGCCGTCACGTCCAGACATTTGCGACTTCAAAAGGACTTTTTAGGGAAACATTTACCTTCTCTCTTCACGCTTTTCATTTTGATGAAAGGGACAATTATGTGTGTGTGTGTGTGTGTGTGCGTGTGTGTGTGTGGGTGTGTGTGTGTGTGTGTGTGTGCGTGTGTGTGTGCGTGCGTGCGTGCGTGTGTGTGTGTGGGTGTGTGTGTGTGTGTGCGTGCGTGCGTGTGGGGAGGGTTTGGGGGGGTTAACAGGCCCCCCCTGAAGGGATTATAAACTTGAAATGCCTTTCAGACTTTCATCTTGCTTGAATTAAGAAAGTCTGTGGTGGGACTTTTGGAACACGCTCTTCTTAAAATCAGGGCCAGAACTGTTAAGTCATCTTTATGTCAGTTCATTGCCACTTTCATTTCCCTTTCCTGAAGATGAAAAAAGATGAAGGTGCTCTGTTTATTCTCATTAGCTTTCACACAAGTCCTCAGTCTACGGACATCAGAACCATAATCAGTGACTTCTCTCAGTTCTAACAATACTTTCCCACCTTTCCTGATAGTGAATTCACATTAGATGCTTAAGTAAGCTTGATACCAGCATTCACATAAACTCATAGTAGTCGAGGGATTCACATATGTCTCTGACACAGCATGAGGAGGTTACACACAAAGCAAAAACTGGGTGTCAGGATTACAGCTTTTGAAATTCCCTGCAGGTTTTCTCTGAAAACCTGTTTGAATGCAGGCACCACGTCCCTTCAGCTCATTTCCACGCGGTTTTGTTTGTCCCTGAGGGATGACGTCACACGAGTGGCTCAAACAGACTCAAGCGGTGACCCATGCAACCAAATTCACAGAATTCAATTCAAATTCAAAAACGCCTTATTGAGCCCAGACAGAAATCAAATTCACACATGCTAATAAATAAATACATAAGTAATAGCTTGTAAAAAAAAAGTGCAATGTGACCATCAGTAATAACACAAAGTAATACTCTACAGTTATTAAAAACGGCATATTGGTATTTCAAGGAAGAAGGTAATTTAGAGAAAGAAAGCACAAGTTGTGCATGCATGCATAAGTGTGTAAAAACCAACAGCCTATTGACAATGCGCACAAATGTTATTTGAAATGAGAAAAACTGCAAATAGGAGTAAAGTTGTAAAGATTCCTTGAGA